GTATATATATATTTATTTATTTATTCACTTATTTATTTACTTATATATAACGCGGATATGCTTGGGACTAATATGGTGAAGACGTATGATTTAGGTGGTTGGTAAGCTTTATCTGTCTTATCTCCTGGTTCGAAAGTTATACATGAGCGGTGTTCAGAAGATGGAAGGAGTTTTGAAATTAATGAAAGCCAAAGCGATGATGTTATCAAAAAAGAGATAAAATTTGAAAACGGATGAGATCTGACGAAAAAAACGACGCAATTTTATTTGTCTTATCTCCTGTTTCGAAAGTACTACATGAGCGTTGAAGGCATCTTAACCTCGTTCAAGAACCAGACAGTACAATGTTAGCTGGAAAAAGCACAGATTAATTTGGTTCAGATGATTGTGAGTCAGCTGTAACTAGATCACAAATTATAATACTTTACTTAAACCCATTACGTGAAAGACTGATAAGTGATGAACCTTGAAGCTCAACTTTTACCAGAAAATATCGATTAACTTAAATAGAGCTCCAAGTGTGCATTTATCTCCGAAAATTCAAGAGTTTAAGACAACGCCTGCCAAAAACCCTGGTTCGAAAATCAACTCATTCACTACAGTAAGTCACTATGCTTTACACATTCTATTAAGTTTTGCTGAATGGCACCCTTTCATTCTCTCCAACGCTGATTTGAGTGTACAATTTTGCTTCACAATAGTTATTATAACAAAAAAACCAAACCTTGTCGGAGAAGTCTTTAGGCAAAGCATGTTCAAGCATTTCTGTCAGTGGAATCATGACGGTTGGCGATATAAAACGCATCCCAGATAATCCTCTATCTTTCGCTCCCACTAAAATAGAAGTAATGTTTGAGCTTAACTTCAACTTGAATTGCTCACTAAGCATGTCGTTGCAAAGTTCTCCTTTCGCGAAAAAACTTTGCAAACGTGGGGCCACTTTGGGCAAATCTGAGAACGATCCACATGCTTTGATCTTTTTCTCCGCTAACCTAAAAAAAACCTGATAGTTTGAGAAATACGAGGTCAGTTATAAAAAATTCCCAATCTAAATTATCCAATTAGCACATTTAAGGCAAAGATGTATGGCAGTTTGTGTACAAAAAAATGAACTATTTTTCCAATAATCTCCGTTTGATTGTTCTCTGAGCAGCATTTCAGCTGTACTTTTCCGCAGTGACATTAGAGGAGAACAAAACCCGGATTGTGTCGAGCGAGAAAATCAAGAATGGACGACTGATTCTTTTCGAGAGACTGGAAAGTCGCTAGAAGGAACGTGCTTGATTTACACCCTTAAATGTCTATACTGCCTATTTGATACATGAGAAGTCCTTTCCACATTTCTTCATGAGATTGAGTAAAGCCCGTCTTCTTCTGAAACAACAGTCTTTG